GAAGGTTTTCTCAGGAAGCTGGGATTAAAGTGCATTAGTCCTGAAATCATAACAGGGCCAGTCCCACGTTGCTGACTCTTTCCCCGACTAAACTGGCTTTGTCTTCTCCTTTGCTTTCATCAACCAAGGCTCATCCTCAGGAGCAGCAAGGACAGAACTCCTGCAGAGGGAGGAGTCTGTAAGTTAAGATACTTACAGTGACAGCAGCCTAACTGGCTAAGTGTCAGCATACCTTATCTGTCTCATTTAATCCTTACAGCAACCCGACCAGCAGGTTTGATAGGGTCCCTGTTTGTAGGTGAGGTGATAGCCATGAGGTGTTGAGGAACTAGCCAGGTAGTAAATAAGGGGCAGAGGCACTTCCTGGAACCCAAGTCACTGCTTCTGAAGACAGCACCTTGAGCAACTGCTTAGGCTGTCTGCACTTCAAAGTTGCTGTTGGTGACAAAGGTGGGAGGGACAGAGTTCCTGCTGCTTGTGCTCTATACCCCCATATACCAGTTTCCAGAGGATCTGACCCCTGCACTGGGGAGTGGACTGGTCCTAGCTACCAGTTGCCAACGGGGGAGGGCAGAGTGGCCATCTGCCTGTTTGCAGCCTTTGACATCCACACCAGAGTAATGGTAACTATTTCATTACCTCATGTGGCCACAGGTTACAGCTGGAGAGATAGCAGGGCAGAGAAGTTAAATGACCCAGCCAGGGTCCCACAAGCTCATGGGCAGTTGAGCCAAGACTCCAATCCAGGTCTCCATCTCCCAGCGCAGGATGGTTTCCATGATAGAGGCAGCCCCTAGCCCTGGAGGGGAATACAGGGTGCCCCTGTGAGTCCTGGCTTATGTGGCTGGGTCCTTGAGCTGGTCACCATCCCCTCTGAGCCTCATCTGGAAAGCAGGGGCATTTATGGCTGCAGCACCTGCCTCTTGGGCTCAGGATGTGTCTGGAAGCCTTGGGTGGGTTGTTGGCAGCTGGTAGCTCTGCTGATGACATGCTGTCTTTGTGGGCAAAATTGGGGCCATCGATGGCATCACTCCTCTCTGCAGCCTCCAACATGGGGTTGCAAAAGCAAGGCACTGTGGCTGAAGGAGTAGAAGGCTGTTTCTGCCAAGGACAAAACCATGTATAACCCTCTTGCTGCTGGAGGCCAGATGGTAGGTCCTCACAGCAGAAAAGCAGCATTACTTTATTTTAATTTTCAAAGAATTCTCAGGATTGGAGAAATCGCCAGCTCTCAAAACACTGGTTTGGAGAATCAGGAACTGCGTCGAATGTTCACGGCAGAAATGTCTATTGATCTGCACTGAAGTATCCCAGACGGTTAGTTGCATTTCTCTTGGAAACGAGATCTTGGCCACAGGAATGCCAAGTCTCTCCCTTTATAATTCGCCGTCTCTGAGCCGACAAACCTCAAGGCAGATCCATGCCCTTGAACTGACAGAGTAGTTCTGTTAAAGAAGTTTGATTATAGGGGCGGGGAAAGAGAGAAGTGAAAGAATCTATATTTCATTAAATAAATGCTGCTTGTTTTAAAGTGGGAGCATTTTTCTGGGTGTCTGGGAAGCTAATCTTTTCTATGTCTTGTTGGGAGAATCTAATCTTAANAGAGGTTTTGATATCTGTCACCAAGCTCAGTGTTGACCGTGCTTGGACATCATAAATGGCGTCATGCCGTTTATATTCTTGTGCCAAATTCCCTCATGCACCAGGTTTCTAAGCTTCAGTCTTTAGTGATAAATCATAGTAAATGGACTTCAACATTTTTACTTTAAGAACGATATAAGCACTTTATAAAGCACGTGGAAGGGGGAGTCATTTAGGATTCCTCCGCCTGCTACCGCCAGTGTAATGGCCTTGGTGTGTTCCTTCCCAGGCCTTCTCATTGGCGAATTTGTTTATCGCTGCAGACAAACCACAAGGGATTTTGTGTGTGGCTTTTTTTCATTTAGGACAAACGCTTTTCCCACATCTAGTGTCTTTGATTGCCATTTTTTTTTAATACTCTAAAATGTGCCACGAGGGCAGCGGCTTTGCCAGTCTTGTTCACTGATGCTTCTAAGTGTGTAGAACGGTGCCGGCATGGGGTTCGTGCCAGTAAATGTTTGTGGGGTACTGGATGAATGCATCACAACTATTCAGCCACCTCCCTATTGCTGGACAATTAGCAACTTCCAGTGTTCTACCATTAGAGGTAATGTGAACCATCAGACATATGGTTTCCACCCCCCACCCCCATGTTTTGAATGGGACCCTTAGAACAAATACCAATGATGAATTGTTGTGTCAAAGAGAAGAAATATTTTCTGGCTCTTGATATGCACTCAAGTACTATGTAGAGCTGAATTACCCAGGTATGAGTCTTGGGGCTGCCATTTACTTGCTGTGTGACTTTGGGAAAATTACTTAACCTTCCTGTGTCCTAGTTCACTCATCTTTAAAATGGAGCTAATGAGAATATTTCACAGACTTGTGAGGATTAAATCAAATACTATATGTGAGGTACTTAAGAGTGTTTGGTCCTGGGTATGTAGTTGCTATTTATGTTTTATACATAAAGCATATCACGCCAAGAAAAGTTGCACCTGTTTTTCCAAATAGAAATGGTTCATCTTAATAGTCACTGTGCTTTTGATAACTCCGAAGCACTGTGTGGTACCCATTGACTCAGAGTTTGGCTGTTGTGAAGTAGACAGCAATCTTGGTTACTAATTGACTTCAGATATATTATGTGCATTCTTTATTTTCTAGCTGGATGCCATCTTGTAGAGGTGGGGGCAAGACAGGGATGATTACATTGTCCCCACAGCACTCTGACAGTGCTCAACCTAGTGCTAGAGGAAGACATATAGACACAGCTAAAGGTTGTTGCTAATTGTAGAAATAAACACAGACCACCAAAATGAGAACAAATACCCCATATTTATTCAGAGTTTACTACAGCAAGAGTTGACCACCGTCACTTGTGTTAGGCAGACACTCAAAGGCAGGCAGGTGAGTGGGGAAAGCTTTATGGTTTTTTAAAAAAAAAAAAACACCCCAACAACACAGGAGACTTCAGATGTGCCCTGATGGGAGGTTGCTGGGCTGGAGATGCTGGAGACTGGCTAACTAGAAGCGGGACATTTTATGTCCTTGGTTTGGGGAATGAATTAGTTTCC